CCCTGATGTGTGTGGGGGTGTCTGTGTGGGGGTGTGTGTGACCCACCACCACTGTGGTGGTGGTCGGGGTGGTGGCGATGGTGGTGGCGATGGTAGTGATGATGTTGGTGGTGGCGGTGGTAGTGATGATGTTGGTGGTGGCGGTGGTAGTGATGATGTTGGTGGTGGCGGTGGTAGTGATGATGTTGGTGGTGGCGATTGTGGTGATGGTAGTGATGATGTTAGTGGTGGTGATGGTGGTGATGATGTTGGTGGTGGTGATGGTGGTGATGATGTTAGTGGTGGCGATGGTGGTGATGATGTTGGTGGTGGCGATGGTGTTGGTGGTGGTGATGGTGGTGGTGATGGTAGTGATGATGTTGGTGGTGGTGATGGTGGTGATGATGTTAGTGGTGGTGATGGTGGTGATGATGTTAGTGGTGGCGATGGTGGTGATGATGTTGGTGGTGGTGATGGTAGTGATGATGTTGGTGGTGGCGATGGTGATGGTGATGTTGGTGGTGGCAATGGTGGTGGCGATGGTAGTGATGATGATGGTGGTGGCGATGGTAGTGATAATGTTGGTGGTGGCGATGGCGATGGTAGTGATGATGGTGGCGATGGTGGTGGTGGCGATGGTGGTGATGATGTTGGTGGTGGCGATTGTGATGGTAGTGATGATGATGGTGGTGGCGATGGTAGTGATAATGTTGGTGGTGGCGATGGCGATGGTAGTGATGATGGTGGCGATGGTGGTGGTGGCGATGGTGGTGATGATGTTGGTGGTGGCGATGGTGATGGTAGTGATGATGTTGGTGGTGGCGATGGCGATGGTGGTGATGATGACGATGATGGTGGTGGTGATGATGATGATGATGTTGATGTTGGTGGTGATGATGGTAGTGATGATGGTGGTAGTGATGATGGTGGTAGTGATAATGATGACGATGATGTTGGTGGTGACATGGAGGAGCGCTGGGCACCTTGTCTCTCTGCCTCCCACAGATGCAGAGCGAGTGTCGCCGCTGGGCAGGGGGGCAGGCCGAGACGTGTGCACGTGGAAGAGGAGCTGGTGATGGTGGTGGTGGTGATGGTGGTGATGGTGATGGTGGTGATGGTGGTGATGGTGGTGGTAGTGGTGGTGATGGTGGTGATGATGGTGATAATGGTGATGATGATGGTGATGATGGTGATGATGATGATGGTGGTGATGATGGTGGTAGTGGTGGTAGTGGTGGTAGTGGTGGTGATGATGGTGATGATGGTGATGATGGTGATAATGGTGATGATGGTGGTGATGATGCTGATGATGGTGGTGATGATGGTGATAATGGTGATGATGATGGTGATGATGGTGATGATGATGATGTGGTGATGATGATGATGATGGTAGTGGTGGTAGTGGTGGTGATGATGGTGATGATAATGGTGATGATGGTGATGATGGTGATAATGGTGATGATGGTGGTGATGATGATGATGGTGATGATGGTGGTAGTGGTGGTGATGATGGTGATAATGGTGATGATGATGGTGATGATGGTGATAATGGTGATGATGGTGGTAGTGGTGGTAGTGGTGGTGATGATGGTGATGTTGATGGTGATTATGGTGATAATGGTGATGATGATGGTGATGATGGTGGTGATGATGGTGGTAGTGGTGGTAGTGGTGGTGATGATTGTGGTAGTGGTGATGATGGTGGTTATGATGGTGGTAGTGGTGATGATGGTGGTAGTGGTGATGATGGTGGTAGTGGTGATGATGATGGTGGTGATGATTGTGGTAGTGGTGATGATGGTGGTGATGATGGTGGTAGTGCTGATTATGGTGGTAGTGGTGATGATGGTGGTGATGATGGTGGTAGTGGTGATGATGGTGGTAGTGGTGATGATGATGGTGGTGATGATGGTGGTAGTGGTGATAATGGTGGTGATGATGGTAGTCGTGGTGGTTCTGGTGGTAGTGGTGGTGATGGTGGTGGTGGAAGTGGTGGTGGTAGTGGTGGTGGTGATGCTGCTGGTGGTGGTGATGGTGGTGGTGGTGGTAGTGGTGGTGGTGATGCTGCTGGTGGTGGTGGTGATGGTAGTCGTGATGGTTCTGGTGGTAGTGGTGGTGCTGGTGGTGATGGTAGAGGTGGTTGGTGATGATGGTGGTGGTGATGGTGGTTGTGATGGTGGTGGTGATGGTGGTGGTGATGGTGGTGGTGATGGTGGTGGTGATGGTGGTGGTGGAAGTGGTGGTGGTTTTGGTGGTAGTGGTGGTGATGGTGGTGGTGGAAGTGGTGGTGGAAGTGGTGGTGGTGATGCTGCTGGTGGTGGTGAAGGTGGTAGTCGTGATGGTTCTGGTGGTAGTGGTGGGGCTGGTGGTGATGGTAGAGGTGGTTGGTGATGATGGTGGTGGTGGTTGTGATGGTGGTGATGGTGGTGGTGATGGTGGTGGTGATGGTGGTTGTGATGGTTGTGGTGATGGTGCTGCTGTTGGTGGGAAAATGGAGGAGGAGGAGGAGGAAGAGGAGGGGGAGGAGGAAGAGGTGAGGGTCAGGATGCACGCACTCACACACGCGGGTGTGTGTGTAGGTGTGTGTGTGTAGGGGTGTGTGTAGGTGTGTGTGGTGTGTGTGTGTAGGTGTGAGTGTGTAGGTATGTGTGTGTGTAGGTGTGTGTGTACACACTCACACGCGCGGGTGTGTGTGTGTGAGTGTGTAGGTGTGTTTGTGTGATTGTATGTGTGAGTGTCTGTGTGTGAGTGTCTGTGTGTGTGTGTACACACTCACACACGCGTGTATGTGTGTAGGTGTGTGAGTGTGTAGGTGTGTTTGTGTGATTGTATGTGTGAGTGTCTGTGTCTGAGTGTCTATGTGTGTGTGTACACACACACGCGGGTGTGTGTATAGGTTTGTGAGTGTGTAGGTGTGTTTGTGTGATTGTGTGTGTGAGTGTCTGTGTGTGAGTGTACACACTCACACACGCGGGTGTGTGTGTGTGTGAGTGTGTAGGTGTGTTTGTGTGTGTGTGTGTAGGTGTGAGTGTCTATGTGTGTGTGTACACACACACGCGGGTGTGTGTGTAGGTGTGTGAGTGTGTAGGTGTGTTTGTGTGATTGTATGTGTGAGTGTCTGTGTGTGAGTGTCTATGTGTGTGCGTGTGTGTGGGGAGCGGTGGTGTAGTGGTTAGCGCGCTGCGCTATGAACCTGTAAACCCGCATTCGATTCCCGCTCACGGCCAACACCAGTGACGATTATCTGAACTGGTCCTGGGCCTCCCCTAGGTCGACTCGGCCTCAAACGAGTACCTGGTGCGGTGTGTAGTAAACATCGCCACTGGGGAGACAAAGGCGGTCGGGCGTGGTGCTGGCCACCCACCCCCTCGTGTACCGTTCCGGCCTTCATAAGTGCTCGCTAACAGCACTTGCCCCTACAGTCTGTTAAGGCTATACGGGGGTTCTTTGTCTTTGTGTGTGTATACGCACGCACACACGCGGGTGGGTGTGTGTAGGTGTGTGAGTTGTAGGTGTGTAGATGTTTGTGCCTATGTGTGTGTGAGTGTGTAGATGTTTGTGTGTGAGTGTGTATGGGTCTCGGAGTCTCTGGGTCTCTGTGTGGGTCTCTGGGTCTCTGTGTGAGTCTATGAGTGTCTGTGTCTGTGTAAGTCTATGGGTCTCAGTGTGTGTATATGAGTGTCTGTGTGAGTCTATGGGTCTCTGTGTGAGTCTATGGGTCTCTGTGTGAGTCTATGAGTGTGTCTGTGTAAGTCTATGGGTCTCAGTGTGTGTTTATGGGTCTCTGTGTGAATCTCTATGTGAGTCTATGAGTCTCTGTGTGAGTCTATGGGTGTCTGTGTGAGTCTATGGGTCTCTGTGTGAGTCTCTGTGTAAGTCTCTGTGTGAGTCTATGGGTGTCTGTGTGAGTCTCTGTGTGAGTCTCTGTGTGAGTCTCTGTGTGAGTGTCTGTGTGAGTCTCTGTGTGAGTCTCTGTGTGAGTGTCTGTGTGAGTCTATGGGTCTCTGTGTGAGTGTCTGTGTGAGTCTCTGTGTGAGTCTCTGTGTGAGTGTCTGTGTGAGTCTATGGGTCTCTGTGTGAGTGTCTGTGTGAGTCTCTGTGTGAGTCTATGTGTGAGTCTCTGTGTGAGTCTATGGGTCTCTGTGTGAGTCTCTGTGTGAGTCTATGGGTCTCTGTGTGAGTCTCTGTGTGAGTCTCTGTGTGAGTGTCTGTGTGAGTGTCTGTGTGAGTCTCTGTGTGAGTCTCTGTGTGAGTCTTTGTGTGAGTCTATGGGTCTCTGTGTGAGTGTCTGTGTGAGTCTCTGTGTGAGTCTCTGTGTGAGTCTCTGTGTGAGTCTATGGGTCTATGTGTGAGTCTGTGTGAGTCTCTGTGTGAGTCTCTGCGTGAGTCTCTGTGTGAGTCTCTGTGTGAGTCTCTGTGTGAGTCTCTGGGTCTCTGTGTGAGTCTCTGTGTGAGTCTCTGTGTGAGTCTCTGTGTGAGTCTCTGTGTGAGTCTCTGTGTGAGTCTCTGTGTGAGTCTCTGGGTCTCTGTGTGAGTCTCTGTGTGAGTCTCTGTGTGAGTCTCTGTGTGAGTGTCTGTGTGAGTCTCTGTGTGAGTGTCTGTGTGAGTCTATGGCTCTCTGTGTGAGTCTGTGTGAGTCTCTGTGTGAGTCTCTGTGTGAGTCTATGTGTGAGTCTCTGTGTGAGTCTATGGGTCTCTGTGTGAGTGTCTGTGTGAGTCTCTGTGTGAGTGTCTGTGTGAGTCTATGGCTCTCTGTGTGAGTCTGTGTGAGTCTCTGTGTGAGTCTCTGTGTGAGTCTATGTGTGAGTCTCTGTGTGAGTCTATGCGTCTCTGTGTGAGTCTCTGTGTGAGTGTCTGTGTGAGTCTATGGGTCTCTGTGTGAGTCTCTGTGTGAGTCTCTGTGTGAGTCTCTGTGTGAGTCTCTGTGTGAGTCTATCGGTGTCTGTGTGAGTCTCTGTGTGAGTGTCTGTGTGAGTCTCTGTTGCTGTCTCATCGTCACGTCTCTTCTGCCCCCTTCCCAGGTGCTGCCTGGCAACCGCAGCCTTTGTGAGTAGCACCGTCACGCCCCACAATCTACACTACACTACTACACTATACACTACTACACTATACACTACACTATACACTACTACACTATACACTACTACACTATACACTACTACACTATACACTACACTATACACTACTACACTATACACTACTCTATACACTACACTATACACTACACTATACACTACACTATACACTACATTATACACTACACACTACACTATACACTACACTATACACTACACTATACACTACTACACTATACACTACATTATACACTACACACTACACTACACTATACACTACATTATACACTACACACTACACTACACTATACACTACATTATACACTACACACTACACTACACTATACACTACACTATACACTACTACACTATACACTACATTATACATTACACACTACACTATACACTACTACACTATACACTACTACACTATACACTACTACACTATACACTACACTATACACTACTACACTACACACTACACTACACTATACACTACACTATACACTACACTATACACTACACTATACACTACACTATACACTACACACTACACTGTGTCTGGTCCCGCGCCGTGTCTAACTGGAGATGTTGCGTCCGGCCCCCGCCCTCCCCCGTGTGCCGTGAAGACGACCGGTTGTTGTCGATTCGACAGGAGCGACTGCTGTCCGTGCTACGCCTGTACCCGCGGGGACAGCCTCATCCAAGTAGCAGCGGTGGTCACCACCACAGCTACGAGGTGCAGACCGCCTCACCCTGTGTGTGTGTCTGTGTGTGTCTGTGTGTGTCTGTGTGTGTGTGTCTGTGTGTGTGTCTGTGTGTGTGTCTGTGTGTCTGTGTCTGTGTGTGTGTGTCTGTGTGTGTGTCTGTGTGTGACTGTCTCTGTGTGCATGTGTGTGTCTGTGTGTGTCTGTGTGTGTCTGTGTGTGTGTGTCTGTGTGTCTGTGTGTGTGTGTGTCTGTGTGTGTGTGTCTCTGTGTGTCTGTGTGTGTCTGTGTGTGTCTGTGTGTTTGTGTGTCTGTGTGTGTCATTGCGTGTGTGTGTCTGTGTGTGTGTGTCTGTGTGTGTGTGTGAGTGTCTCTGTGTGTGTGTGTCTGTGTGTGTGTGTGTCTGTGTGTGTGTGTGTGTGTCTGTGTGTGTGTGTCTGTGTGTGTGTGTGTGTCTGTGTGTGTGTATCTGTGTGTGTGTCTATGTGTGTCTGTGTGTGTGTGTGTGTCTGTGTGTGTGTCTGTGTGTGTGTCTGTGTGTGTGTCTGTGTGTGTGTGTCTGTGTGTGTGTGTGTGTCTGTGTGTGTGTCTGTGTGTGTGTGTCTGTGTGTGTGTGTGTGTCTGTGTGTGTGTGTGTCTGTGTGTGTGTCTGTGTGTGTGTCTGTTGTGTGTGTCTGTGTGTCTGTGTGTGTGTGTGTCTGTGTGTCTGTGTGTGTGTGTCTGTGTGTGTGTGTCTGTGTGTGTGTCTGTGTGTGAGTGTCTCTGTGTGCATGTGTGTGTCTGTGTGTGTCTCTGTGTGCATGTGTGTGTCTGTGTGTGTGTCTGTGTGTTTATGTGTCTGTGTGTGTCATTGCGTGTGTGTGTCTGTGTGTGTGTGTCTGTGTGTGTGTGTGAGTGTCTCTGTGTGCGTGTGTCTGTGTGTGTGTCTGTGTGTGTGTGTCTGTGTGTGTGTCTGTGTGTGTGTGTCTGTGTGTGTGTATCTGTGTGTGTGTCTATGTGTGTCTGTGTGTGTGTGTGTGTCTGTGTGTGTGTCTGTGTGTGTGTGTCTGTGTGTGTGTCTGTGTGTGTGTGTGTGTCTGTGTGTGTGTGTCTGTGTGTGTGTCTGTGTGTGTGTCTGTGTGTGTGTCTGTGTGTGTGTCTGTGTGTCTGTGTCTGTGCGTGTGTGTCTGTGTGTGTGTGTGTCTGTCTGTGCGTGTCTGTGTGTGTGTATCTGTGTGTGTGTGTCTGTGTGTGTGTCTGTCAAACGGGGTTTGGCCAGGAGACGTCATCGACGCCTGTCTTCCCGGGGCCTCCGGCACGAGCTTGTTACTGAGATATTTTCGACGTTCTTAGTGGTGACGTATTGAAGGTGGAGGGGTTTCCATCCCCTCGCACCCGTCCAGAGCCCCCATTTAGCCGCCGTGGTGGCTACAAATGCCCCGCGGGGAAAGGCCAATCGGAATTGGCCCTCCCCCCACGGCACTGTCCACGACAGCGTTGTCCGTCCGGCCCCACGAGGAGGTAGAGGTTGTTTTGCCACTCCGATGGCCAGGTGGTTGCATCTCACTCAGAGGAGGGAGTTTGAGACGCTGCTGCTAAAACTGGAGTGTGTCACTAAGAGATGGGGCCTTACTATCAGCCCCACCAAAACGAAGCACCTGCCTGGGTATTTTGTACCATCGGACACTCCACCCCCACAACTCCCAATCGGTGATGGGGCAGTAGTGGAGAGAGTGGAGAGTTTCCCATACCTGGGCAGTGTGCTCATGACCGGCTCCGGTTTAACAGCAGAGGTCTCACTCCGAATCAGTCGAGCGGCAATATCTTTTCATCGGTTGCGTAACGCTGTGTGGAAGCGACCTGGTCTGTCGCTCCGCACGAAGCTTTGGGTCTTTCACGGCCACAGTCATTCCATCCCTTCTCTACGCTTGCGAAACGTGGACCCCCCTAATGGAGCATCTTCGCCGGTTATAAACATTTAGGCTGGTCTGCCTACGATCCATCCTGGGTTTAACCTGCAGGCTGGATTGTGTGAGGAGCTCACAAATCCTTGAAAGATGTGAGCTCCTCCGGCAGGCAAGGCTGCGTTGGCTGGGTCATGTAGCCCGCATGCCCAGCCACCGCATGCCTAAACAGCTTTTGTTCGGCCGGATCGAGGGGGCTAAACGGGCGCGGCACGGGCTAGAGAAGAGATGGAGTGATGTGGTACAGGAGGACGTGGAGCTGAGTGGACTTGCCGATGACTGGTACCAGCGGTGTCAAGATCGGCCTCTGTGGAGGAGGCTCGTGAAGGACGCTACTGGGCAGTTGGAGGCAGTCGCCCTCCAACAACAACGGAGGGCGGAGGAGTGACGCTCACAACAACGAGCGGAACGCCGGGTGGCTAAAGCACAGCAAGTTGGCACAGTAGGGGGCACAGGTGGTGCATCAGCCAGTCATCTCGGTCATCTCGGTCAGTCGACCCGTGGCACCTGCTGGGTCTGCCCCGTGACCTCCTGCCAGCGGGCGTTCGACACTTCACGTGGCCTCAAGGTGCACATAGCCTGGCACAAGCATCGTGGTGACGTCACCGCCACTTAGTGGCGAATGGCGGTTGTTGTGTGAGTCCCAAGTTCGATTCCCGCTCACAGCCATCAACACCATCAGTGACAGCGATTATCTGAATCGGTACTGGGCCTCCCCTAGGTCGACTCAGCCTCAATATATATACCTGGTGCAGTGTGTGCTCAGCATTGCTAGCACTGGGGAGACAAAGGCGGCCGGGCGTGGTGCTGGCCACCCACCCCCTCGTGTGCCGTGCCGGCCTTCATAGGCGCTGTTACTCGCGAACAGCACTTGCCCCTACAGTCTGTTACAGGCTACACGGGGGATCTTTGTCTTTATATGTACGCATATACGTACCGCTGGTGACGATGGTCACGATGGTGATGATGATGACGATGGTGATGATGATGATGATAATGGTGGTGATAATGGTGGTGATGATGATGATGGTGATAATGGTGGTGATGATGACGATGAGGATAATGGTGGTGATGATGATGATAGTGGCAGTGATGATGAGGAATATGATGACTATGATGATGGTGATGATAACGATGACGATGATAATGGTGGTGATGATGACGATGATGATGATGGTAACGATGATGATGACGATGATAATGGTGGTGATGGTGACGATGGTGATGCTGGTGATGGTTTTGATTTTTTTCAGGATTTTCTGCTGGAAGATCCCGTGTACCAGCTCAGTGTCGAGGAGACACGGAGACTCTCCACACACAGATACTCGGCCTGCCTCGACCAGACGCCAACACAGTAATCATCACTCGCATTGTCATCACCATCATCGTCGTCATCATCACTATCATCATCTCCATCGTCATCATCATCATCATCGTCACACTCACACACTCACCCTCATACTCACACAGTCACTCACACACACATTCACATACTCACACACTCACACACTCACCCTCATACTCACACAGTCACTCATACTCACATACTCACACACACATTCACATACTCACACACTCACACACTCACCCTCATACTCACACAGTCACTCATACTCACATACTCACACACACATTCACATACTCACACACTCACACACTCACCCTCATACTCACACAGTCACTCACATACACACACAATTACACACACACACTCATATACTTACACTCACTCATACTCACACACACATTCACACACTCACCCTCATACTCACACAGTCACTCACATGCACACACAATTACACACACACACTCATATACTCACACTCACTCATACTCACATACTCACACACACATTCACATACTCACACACTCACACACACACCCTCACACTCACACAACAACAACCGCCATTCGCCACTAAGTGGCGGTGACGTCACCACGACGCTTGTGCCAGGCCATGTGCACCCTCCACGGATCTTCGTCTTCAGTGGGGGCATAAGTAACCACGACCACCACTCTTCGCCTCTGGTTGATGGGAAGGCGAGCCCAAAGTAGCCTGGGGCTTACAGCTTCCCACACCTCACTGCCACGCTCCCACACCCCCTTCATTCTTTTGTTCAAAAGAAGAGCCACTCCCTGTTGTTTGGCAGTCTCCTGCCCCGAGTAGAGGACTGTCCACCCCTCATGGTGGCAGGAGCCAGAGCCGGTCCACCGGACCTCCTGAATGCCACAGAGATCCAGGCGGTACCGGTCCAGCTCCTGACAAAGGAGTGGCAGCCTCTCCTCCGCAGTGAGCGTTCGAACATTCCACGTGGCCACACGAAGTGGCTTTTTGTTGTTTCTGGAGGATCCCCGAGGGCGAAGATTCAATCTCCTGGCTCCGCCAATTGGGGTTTGGCCAGGAGACGTCATAGACGCCTGTCCCCCCGGGGCCTCCGGCACAAGCTTATTAGTTACATATTCAAGTCGTGGTTTAGTGGTAATTAATTGAAGGTGGAGGGGTTACCAGCCCCTCGCACCCGTCCAGAGCCCCCGTCTAGCCACTGTGGTGGTCACAGACGCCATGAGGGGAGAGGCCAATGGGCATTGGCCCTCCCCCCACAGCACTGCCCACGGCAGTGTTGCCCGTCCGGCACACAAACACTTAAACACACTCACATACACCCTCACATACACTCACACACAAACACCTACACACACATACACACACTCACATACACACACACACTCACATACACCCTCACACACACGCACACAAACACTTAAACGCACTCACACACACCCTCACACACAAACACCTACACACACTCACATACACCCTCACATACACTCACACACAAACACCTACACACACTCACATACACCTACACACACTCACACACAAACACTTAAACACACTCACACACACCCTCACACACACTCACACACAAACACCGACACACACTCACATACACCCTCACACACACAAACACCTACACACACTCACACAAAGACAAAGATCCCCCATATAGCCTTAACAGACTGTAGGGGCAAGTGCTGTTAGCGAGTAGCACCTATGAAGGCCGGAACGGTACACGAGGGGGTGGGTGGCCAGCACCACGCCCGACCGCCTTTGTCTCCCCAGTGGCGATGTTTACACACCGCACCAGGTACTCATTTAAGGCTGAGTCGACCTAGGGGAGGCCCAGGACCGGTTCAGATAATCGTCACTGGTGTTAGCCGTGAGCGGGAATCGAACCCGGGTCGCCAGGTTCATAGCGCAGCGCGCTAACCGCTACACTACCGCTCCCCACACTCACACACACACTCACACACAAACACCGACACACACTCACATACACCCTCACACACACAAACACCTACACACACTCACACACCCTCACACACACACTCACACACAAACACCTACACACACTCGCTTACACACACACACACTCACAAACACCTACACACACTCACACACAAACACCGACACACACACACTCACACACAAACACCTACACACACTCACACACACCCTCACACACACTCACACACAAACACCTACACACACTCACACACATTCACTCACACACAAACACCTACACACACTCACACACACTCACACACACACAAACACCTACACACAAACACTTATTCCCCCCCCCCTCTTGCCCCCAGCTGCATCATCTGCCTGGAGGTGCTTGTGGAGGGAGCAGAGATATGCAGGTTGCCCTGCACACACGCACACTTCCACGCAGCCTGCATCCGCACCTGGCTACAGGTAGTAATCACCACCAGCTCGTGCTGGTGCTGATGATGATGCTGATGCTGGTGATGATGATGATTTGTGTATCTCTCTTTCTGTCTCTCTGTCTTTCTCTCTCTGTCTCTCTCTGTCTCTCTCTCTCTGTCTCTCTGTCTGCCTGTCTCTGTGTCTCTCTCTGTCTCTGTGTATGTGTGTCTGTGTGTGACTGTGTGTGTCTGTGTGTGTCTCTGTGTGTCTCTGTCTCTCTCTGTCTCTCTGTGTGTCTGTGTGTGTGTGTGACTGTGTGTGTGTGTCTCTGTGTGTCTCTCTCTGTCATTCTCTCTGTCTCTGTGTGTCTGTGTGTGTGTCTGTGTGTGTGTGTCTGTGTGTGTGTCTGTGTGTGTGTGTCTGTGTGTGTCTCTGTGTGTGTCTGTGTGTGTGTGTGTGACTGTGTGTGTGACTGTGTGTGTGTGTGACTGTGTGTGTCTGTGTGTGTCTGTGTGTGTGTGACTGTGTGTGTGTATCTGTGTGTGACTGTGTGTGTGTCTGTGTGTGTGTCTGTGTGTGTCTCTGTGTGTGTCTGTGTGTGTGTGTGACTGTGTGTGTGTGACTTTGTGTGTGTGACTGTGTGTGTGTGTGTCTGTGTGTGTGTGTCTGTGTGTGACTGTGTGTGACTGTGTGTGTGTCTGTGTGTGTGTTTGTGTGTGACTATGTGTGTGACTGTGTGTGTGACTGTGTGTGACTGTGTGTGTGTGACTGTGTGTGTGTGTGTCTGTGTGTGTGTGACTGTGTGTGACTGTGTGTGTGTGTCTGTGTGTGTGTCTGTGTGTGTCTGTGTGTGTGACTGTGTGTGTGTGTGTGTGACTGTGTGTGTGTCTGTGTGTGTGTGACTGTGTGTGTGTCTGTGTGTTTGTGTCTGTGTGTGTGACTGTGTGTGTGTGTGTCTGTGTGTGTGACTGTGTGTGTGTGTGTGTGACTGTGTGTGTGTCTGTGTGTGTGTGGTGACTGTGTGTGTGTCTGTGTGTGTGTCTGTGTGTGTGACTGTGTGTGTGTGTCTGTGTGACTGTGTGTGTGTATCTGTGTGTGACTGTGTGTGTGTCTGTGTGTGTGTCTGTGTCTGTGTGTGTGACTGTGTGTGTGTGTGTCTGTGTGTGTCTGTGTGTGTGACTGTGTGTGTGTGTGTGACTGTGTGTGTGTCTGTGTGTGTGTGACTGTGTGTGTGACTGTGTGTGTGTGTCTGTGTGTGTGTCTTAGGAGAGCGGCGCGTGTCCGGTGTGCCGTGCCGCAGTCGTCTTACACTGAGGAGCTGCAGCTCCATCAACCGTTCAAGTCTCCCTCACCACCCAATGTCTCACTACCCAGTGTCTCACCACCCAGTGTCTCACCACCCAGTGTCTCACCACCCAGTGTCTCACTACCCAGTGTCTCACTAGCAGTGTCTCACTACCCAGTGTCTCACCACCCAGTGTCTCACCACCCAATGTCTCACTAGCAGTGTCTCACTACCCAGTGTCTCACTACCCAGTGTCTCACCACCCAGTGTGATGACGATGGTGATGATGGTGACGATAATGACGATGATGGTGGTGACGATAATGATGATGGTGACGATAATAATGATGGTGGTGGTGGTGACGATAATGATGATGATGGTGGTGGTGACGATAATGATGATGGTGACGATGATGATGATGGTGGTGGTGGTGACGATAATGATGATGGTGGTGACGATAATGACGATGATGATGATGGTGACGATAATGATGATGATGGTGGTGGTGACGATAATGATGATGGTGACGATAATGATGATGGTGACGATAATGATGATGGTGGTGGTGGTGACGATAATGATGATGGTGGTGACGATAATGACGATGATGGTGGTGGTGATGGTGGTGGTGACGATAATGATGATGGTGACGATGATGATGATGGTGACGATAATGATGATGGTGACGATAATGATGATGGTGACGATAATGATGGTGGTGGTGGTGACGATAATGACGATGGTGGTGATGGTGGTGATGGTGGTGGTGATGGTGGTGATGGTGGTGGTGACGATGGTGATGATGACGGTGACGATGGTGATGATGGTGGTGACGATGGTGGTGGTGACGATAATGATGGTGGTGGTGATGGTGGTGACGATAATGATGGTGGTGGTGACGATAATGATGGTGGTGGTGGTGGTGACGATAATGATGATGGTGGTGACGATAATGACGATGGTGGTGATGGTGGTGGTGATGGTGGTGGTGACGATGGTGATGATGACGGTGACGATGGTGATGATGATGGTGGTGACGATGGTGGTGGTGACGATAATGATGGTGATGATGGTGGTGGTGACGATGGTGGTGGTGATGATGATGGTGGTGACGATGGTGGTGGTGACGATAATGTTGGTGATGATGGTGGTGGTGATGGTGACGCAGATGGTGGTGACGATGATGGTGATGATGGTGACGATGATGATGATGGTGGTGACGATGGTGATGATGATGATGGTAGTGATGATGGTGATGGTGGTGACGATGATGATGATGATGATGGTGGTGATGATGTGTTTGTTAGCCCCTGCCTTTGGTCATACAGGCTGCTTCAAACAAAACACTAAAGTGGTAGTGGTCGTTGTGTAGTGTATAGTATAGTGTAATGTAGTGTATAGTGAAATGTATAGTGTAGTGTATAGTGTAATGTAGTGTATAGTGTAGTGTAATGTAGTGTATAGTGTAATGTAATGTAGTGTATAGTGTAGTGTAGTTTATAGTGAATAGTGTAGTGTACAGTGTAGTGTACAGTGTAGTGTACAGTGTACAGGTGTTTAAAGTGATGGACCCAATTTCAAAACAGCCCAGGGGCTGTTTGTGCGCTGGGAGAGGCGAATGGCGGCCATCATTTTATACTCTAAGCCCCTCCCCCTCTACGCCCCTCCCCCTCTAAGCCCCTCCCTCTACGCCCCTCCCTCTCTACGCCCCTCCCTCTCTATGCCCCTCCCTCTCTATGCCCTTTCAAGTGGTAAGAGTTTTATTAATGGGCGGTTGGTGGTTGCAGAGATTTCTCGATTTCAAATCGGGGTCCATCTTTCTGAAGCACCCAGCGGTCCCCAACCTTTTAGGCACCAGGCACCGGCTTCGTGGAAGACAATTTTTTTCACGGGGGAGGGAGGGAGGGGGGGGGGAGAGGTCATCATTGGGTCTTTCTCCCTCTTCAAAGAAGCTCTGCAGCGACGTGTGTGTTGACTCGTGTTGGCTACTGGCGGCTAGAGCTCGTGGGCTTACCAAGACCGTGCCAGGTACGGGAAATAGGCGCGGACACATTTACTCAATATCATCGGGGTGAAGATGACCTCAGGCAAGATGACCACAATGCAGGGATTCAGGAAATGCGTATCCACACATGCCCGTTTGCTTTTAAATAAATGTGTGCATCTTTTGATTGAAAGCTTTCGTGACTGCAGTGAACTATTTGTCTTTTGTCAACGTGACAGAATCCTGTGTTGGGATCTTGAGAGATGACGATAGCTGGGGAGGCTTTCATTCAGCCATAGATCAATCACGGCTGACAATGGTCATTCCATTTACGAGACTTTACCCGGTGTAAGAGGCCGGAGTATACCCACAGGTGTAGTGTACCCACAGGCCGTAGTATACCCACAGGTGTAGTGTACACACAGGTGTAGTGTACCCACAGGTGTAGTGTACCCACAGGTGTAGTGTACACACAGGTGTAGTGTACACACAGGTGTAGTGTACCCACAGGTGTACCCACAGGTGTAGTGTACACACAGGTGTAGTGTACCCACAGGTGTAGTGTACTCACAGGTGTACCCACAGGTGTAGTGTACCCACAGGTGTAGTGTACCCACAGGTGTAGTGTACACACAGGTGTAGTGTACACACAGGTGTACCCACAGGTGTAGTGTACACACAAGTGTAGTGTACACACAGGTGTAGTGTACCCACAGGTGTAGTGTACCCACAGGTGTAGTGTACCCACAGGTGTAGTGTACACACAGGTGTAGTGTACACACAGGTGTACCCACAGGTGTAGTGTACACACAAGTGTAGTGTACACAGGTGTAGTGTACACACAGGTGTAGTGTACACACAGGTGTAGTGTACCCACAGGTGTAGTGTACCCACAGGTGTAGTGTACACACAGGTGTAGTGTACACACAGGTGTACTGTACACACAGGTGTACCCACAGGTGTAGTGTACACACAGGTGTAGTGTACACACAGGTGTAGTGTACCCACAGGTGTACCCACAGGTGTAGTGTACACACAAGTGTAGTGTACCCACAGGTGTAGTGTACCCACAGGTGTAGTGTACCCACAGGTGTAGTGTACCCACAGGTGTAGTGTACACACAGGTGTAGTGTACCCACAGGTGTAGTGTACCCACAGGTGTAGTGTACACACAAGTGTAGTGTACACACAGGTGTAGTGTACACACAGGTGTAGTGTACACACAGGTGTAGTGTACCCACAGGTGTATACACACAGGTGTAGTGTACCCACAGGTGTAGTGTACCCACAGGTGTAGTGTACACACAGGTGTAGTGTACACACAGGTGTAGTGTACACAGGTGTAGTATACACACAGGTGTAGTGTACCCACAGGTGTAGTATACACACAGGTGTAGTGTACCCACAGGTGTAGTGTACCCACAGGTGTAGTGTACACACAGGTGTAGTGTACACACAGGTGTAGTGTACACACAGGTGTATACACACAGGTGTAGTGTACCCACAGGTGTAGTGTACCCACAGGTGTAGTGTACACACAGGTGTAGTGTACACACAGGTGTAGTGTACACAGGTGTAGTATACACACAGGTGTAGTGTACCCACAGGTGTAGTATACACACAGGTGTAGTGTACCCACAGGTGTAGTGTACCCGGGGTTAAAACGGCCTAGGCTAGATTATAGCCGGGTATATTATGGCCTAGGCCAAATTATGCCCCTTTAGGCCAAATCATCATACCCCCGTGATAGTAATAGCGTTGAGCGATATACACGTGAATTACTAAATTTTTCCAACATTTTATTTAAACTGTAAACACGTAGACGTTGACTGCTTCAACCAGAAAAAAAAAACTTTAAAAAAAATTTAACCCGTAAAAACAAAGTTTTTCACTATAAATCCTTTATATGCGTGGCATCGGGGCGGCTAGAGTCCTCTCGTCCTCTGGCTTGAGATGGCTGCCACCTATGGGTCAGATGATTGTCTGGCAGCATTAAACAATTGGTAATTAAATATTTAATTTGTTTTCCCTAAACAGTGTAAAATTTTGGAAAAAAAATTTTCACGAACATTAATTGTCACGAACAACGAGTCTGTGTGCAAAATATCAGCTCGGTTGGATCACGGGAAGTGGGTTAAAAAACGACCGAAAGATTTGCACGGTCCTAAGCAAGCAAGCGAACTTAATATAAAGGATTTAATAACCCTGAACTTAAAAATGCTTCAATTGATCAAATTGAGATTCTTACTTCCACGCGTACGCGTTTTAGATATCGATTGAAGTGCGTTGTCGCCTGTTCTCTGTCTGGATAATTGCCTGTGAACTTTCACACGGGGCTTAGTCTGGCCAGGAGCGGTATGGTCTGGCCCAGTCGAGTTTAAACCCCCGGGGGGTCTAGTTTAGCCTTGGAGACTTCATCCCCCCCCCCCCCCCCCCGGGTATACTCTGGACTGGGCCAAACTATACCCGGGTTTAATCGGGGCAGGGGTTATTTTAGCCTGTCGGGATGGAACTCACGACCTCCTGTACACCCGGCGAGGTAGTTAACATCTCCTAGCCACCGTGATGATGAGAGACACCGCAAACTCCAAATATACAGCAGCAGGTGTCATGGTCTGGATCGAACCCACGACCTGCTGCGTACCAGGCGAGGTAGTCAACATCTCCTAGCCACCGTGATGATGAGAGAGACACAGCAAACTCCAAATAGACAGCAGCAGGCATCGTCAGGGTCGGGATGGAACTCACGACCTCCTGTATACCAGGCGAGGTAGTCAACATCTCATAGCCACCGTGATGAGAGAGAGAGAGAGACACACAAACTCCAAACATACAGCAGCAGGCTTCAGGGTCGGGATGGAACTCACGACCTCCTGTACACCCGGCGAGGTAGTCAACATCTCATAGCCACCGTGATGATGATGAGAGACACGCAAACTCTAAATATACAGCAGCAGGTGTCAGGGTCGGGATCGAACCCACGACCTCCTGCGCACCAGGCGAGGTAGTTAACATCTCCTAGCCACCGTGATGATGAGAGAGACA